TAGTCCCCAGAACAGGCATGGCACACAGCTGTCTCCCACACAGGGCTTTCTCAAGAGGAAAGGTTTAAGCAGGTCTTTTCTCCTATTGCCTTGGCCATACACCCAGTGGTTTGGCCCACAAAGCTGACCAAGCTTCTAGTAAATACATAAAGGCACATTCACAAGCCATCTGCACTTTGGTTTCAGGCCTTTCAGCCCAATGGGAGATCAAAGTATGTGCCGATGAGTCACATTTACAATAACTAGATGAACCCCATCATGAAGCACTTCTTTCGCCTTGCCAGTTGCAACATGCTCTGCACCCACGAGCGTTAGCACTGCCCTTTAGCTTGCAAGATCTGTGGCCCAGGAACTGGACAGACATGCAGTTTCCACAGCCAGACACAGCTTTAACTGCTCTCTTCTCCCTGTCTGAAAAGGGCTGCACCTCCAAAACTCAGCCTAAGAGCTTCATGTCCAAACTGCCCTCAACCATTTCAGGATTGAGTCAGACAAAAATAGACATAGTTGCAAAAATGCTTTTTGTATTATTCTCTGAACAGAAAGCAGCACTGGGCAATCTGGCAAGTCCAAGTGCAGCAGTTTGGAAAGTGAGGGAGTTTAACGCATGAGTGAATACCTGGGGGGCACCTAATAAGGCTTTCAACAACTCATTCCCAGGATCCAGCCTGAATAGTGTTCAGAGTCACAGCTGGGCTGCAGAAAGAGAACAGGAATAGCTTCAGCACTCACTGATGGATTTACTGCTCCCTGCAGGCGTTACAGGAGGCTGACCCCAAATTGCAGCTCCTTCTTGCTGAGTTTTGAGCAGAGGGAGCAGCCAAAACTCCTGTGGCCACAGGCCTGAGTATGATAAGCCACTGCTGGGTCAAAGCCCCAGAGTGAGACCTGCCAGCATGGGGGCTTGCAAGCCCTTGAATGCCCAACACATCCCCTGCCCTCTGATAACCCCTCGAGAGTGCATCCTTGGAGTTGCTCTCACCGCTATGGCCAGTCTGGAGAGTGGCAGGTCAGTGGGCAAGTGGAAGGCTAATAAATCTGCTTGTGGAAGTCGCACCATGAAAGCTGGATTGCTGGGGCATGGAGCTGCTTCTAGGTGCTGACCACTGCTGTCTGTGCACTGGGGAGGACGTGCAGATCTCTCTTCCACATTCAGCCAGCAAGGGGGATCACAGACCCTGTCTTGCCTGGGGGCTCATCCTTGGCCTTCTGGTGGGCACAAAGACAGCAGTGTGGGTGTTCAGGGGGAATCCGGGAGCCAGGCTGAGAGAAGCCCTTTGCAACTGCAGCTGTTTGCACAATGCAGAGTGTGTTCCAGTTGCACTCACATGCTGCCTGGGATATGGCTTAAGCAAAGGAGTCATCAAAGGGGAACCCTCATTTTGCACTCTTAGAGACTGCTCCACACCAAATGCTAGAAGAAAAAGCAGCAAAAGGGAATGGTCAGAACAAAATCCTTCAACTCGGACACCTGTCTAATGAGACTTTCCTGTAGGATGGAGACTGAGGACAGGCTTAGACAAACAGGTCTAATGCTAAAAAACCCAGTACGGGCTGTTTGAGCCATCCTACTTTGCTCCTAGCCTGCAGAGATTTAGGGTTTCAACTGAAAGGCAAACACAGATGGATAGTGGAGCTAAATAACTGTCTAGACCAGAGGAAGTTGCAACCCCCTAAGTGCTCCCAGGTGGTGTTCCTAGCCAGTTCCCATCTCATACATCAGGCAGGATGTGGGGGGCTGCCAAGCTCTGCAAAGAAAATTCTCCTAAGGTGAGAGCGAGGATGAAGGATATACAGCCAAGGTCAAGTGTTGTGCCTGCTGGGTACCTGCCGGTCATAGGGCATCCCAGGGAGGCACAGCCCATGCGCTCCCATTTGCCATACCTGCAGACCTGACGGCCTTGTGGCTTGGTGTCCAGCATGGGCTGAGCTCACTTTGAACCCAAGAAGTGGTCAGGTACAATATAACTTCTGTGATATGCAGGCAGTGTTGTGGAATGGGGGGGATCTTGCCGTATGCAATACAGGCAAAGCCCCAGGGTCAGTGGGATGTAAACAGGAATTACCAGCTGCAGGCTTCAACAGCCCTGGCCCCAACTTTTCCCCACACAGCAAACAGGATGCTGAGAGATCCTGCTTCTGCTGAGGATCCTGCTCCTGCAGCTGTGAAGGGAAGAGAGTCACAGTAACCTCCTTGAAAAGATGCATCCCCACCCCCTGCAAGTCTCAGTACCGTGATCTCAGCTGGCAGTGTAGGGGCAGAGCTATCTTTGTGCTGGGAAGCTCTTCTCTCCAGAGTCACATTTTGAAAGCTCAGCTGGATGTGGAAGTCTAATCAGATTATGGATCAACTAGGAAGCTTTGGAGAGTGTTGTGTGAATGTGTTCTGCAGCTTGGCCATTTCTGGTATCAGGCAAACTGCTCAGCTGGTCTGATAATGGTGTAGCCCAAAAGCCACGAGTCCTATCCACACTGATCCTACACTGAGCCACTGTCACCTGAGAGACAGTAGTACGTGTCCAGTCTGGGGAGGTGTCACAACCAGTAGCTGGAAGCAGACAGCTAGGGAGGCAGAGAACAGGCTGAACATAGCAATACTGCCCTGAATGCATTTCCAGCCTTTAATGATGCAGGGTATCTGAGGCTACACTAAATAGCCCATCATGGATTTAAAAAAATTTTTTTTCCCTTTGTAATCAGTCTCAAGTCCTGACCATCCTGCCCTGGATCTTTTCCAGTTCCAATTAAGTGAAGGCCTTCTGCTGGTCCTCCAATTTGCAAAGGAGTGTTGAAAAATAATAATATTAAAATGCAAGCCAACTTGACCAGGCCTGGATAAAGTTTCCATCACGTTCTTAAAGAGTTATCTATGACAATGTAGGAAAAACTAAGTCATAGCCTTGGAGAAGTAGGAAACACCAAGTAAGGTGGCTTTTTCCCATTCAGCAGCTAGGGCAATGTGGGAAGGAAGGCAGTTTCAGCCAGACCATTTTATCTCTGAGACCAGATGGCTTTAAATGCTTCCCCAGAGCTTGGAAAGGGCCAGGCACTGCTTTGAATTGCTTTTCATACCACCTCATTAGTAAGTAAAATGAAAGAAATGAACAATCTATAACTTTGTGGCAACGGGAAACAGCTCTGTTAATCCCATTTCCTTCCCCAAGCTTACTCAGGGCAGGTCATCCAACATCAGGGCCACATCACCTAATTTGCTTATCGTTGCCCCACAGTCAGGAGCGTGGGCACCAGCTCAAAGGGCAGATGCATCCTCCTGGGCATTATTAATAAATTGGAAAGGTCCAGGTTGTTAAACCTGCCCCGGTGCATAATTGCGACACTCCTGGCACCCAGCTTCTACTTGCTGCTGCAGATCCAAGGAGTGGCCTCCTGAGCTCAGGAGGAGCCAAAGAGCACTGACAGGTCCTCATCCATGGCACCTAGGCTCACCGTGCCACCCAGTTCCCTGCCAGCCCTTTCCCTCTGCCTCCCTCTCCCACGGGAGCACTACATCTTCTCACAGAGAACCTCCACTTTGTGTCCAGCTGGAAAGGTGTCCAAATGCAGCCTCCTGAAAGAGTCAGGACTAGAAGGTTTCAGGCTTTTAGCGCTTGTTCCTGGGTCCCACAGCAGAAGGCAGCTTTGGGCAACACATCAGGCAGACAGCATTTGGTTTGTTGGTTGGACCCACAGCTCCAAGGGTAATAACGAGTGTCTTGGCACAGAGTCAGTGGCTGGAGTGGGGTAAAAGTTAAAAAAGTTAAAGGAACAGGAAAGGAATCAGCAACCCCTAGCTTAGTTTCTCAGATGAGGAGTGCCAGATTTTAGCAAACTGCTAGCTGCATACAACAAAACTAGATGTCCCTGTTCTGGAGCTATGCACAGCTGGCTGTCAGCATTGCTGCCCTGCAGACACGGCTGGGAACATGAGCATCTGGCTGAGTCCAACCCACCCCTGCCTTCCAGCTGGACTGAGATCCAGTGATAAGCAGCTCCACAATATATCCCCGAAATCTGTCACCCATAGAGCTGAAGGGCTTCAGGGCACTCGGGAAATAGCTGTTGGACGGGGGAGTGGGGAAGGGATCCAGGAGCAGCTGGTCTAGCAGAGACCCACCCAGCCCTGCAGACGGCCAAGGCCACGGAACCAGCAGTGCAAAGATGCCGAGGAGCATAGACGCAGCCAGCCCTCCAGCTCATCCCAAATTGATCCACAGAGGATGCTGCCCTCTTCTGGGCCTAGCGTGACTGGCAGAGATTTCAGGGAAACTTGGAAAGGCCCGAGTGCTTTTTGGGGCTCAAATCCCCACATAGAGTTTCTCAAATGTGGTGACTTTCCATACCTGTCTCAGCGAACATCCCAGGGACTTTTCCCGCCGAGACTCAGGCTGCTGGGTCTGCGGGTGACCTCTGAGCGCAGCCTGGAAAGGGAGAAGCAGGGCCAAGCTCAGGAGCCGTCCCTGAAAGACAGGGAGATGGGTACTTCTCCTGGGCCAGCTGCCAACTGTGAGATCTGCTAGCATTTAATCGTAATTATTATTTTCATAAATTAATTAATTAATTTGATAGCAAAATAAGCTCATATTCAATTAATGAACTTGTAATAGGGTCCTGTGTCGCCCCATCAGCCCGGGGACGGCCGACCGCCCGCGCGTCCCCGCCCGCCAACCTGCGGGGGGACACAGGGGCCGGAGCTGGGGTGGTCCCTGCGGACTCCCGTGTCCCTGGAAGGCGCTTCCCCCCGGCAGGTGCCGACCAGCCCTGCCCGGGCCGGCCCCGCCTGCGGCCCGCGCCTCCTGCCGGCCTTCCCCACGGCCCGGGCAGGGCTGGGGGGGCGCTCCGGGCCGTGCCCGCCGTGCGGAGCTGCGGGAACGCTTCCCGCCGCGGGATCCCCCCTCTCGCCTGCCCCGAGCGGCCCTGTGGCACCGGTGGCACAGCTCCTGCACAGTGAGCCCCGGAGCTCCCTCGGGCAAGCAGGAGCCCGCCTCGCCCGCCTCCCCAGCATGAGGACGCCGACGGCGATGATCGTGGGACTGGTGCTGTGCCCCTGCGGGCTCCTGCTGACGCTCACGGGTACCCTGGCACCCAGCTGGAGGAAGGTGAGCCTCGTACCTAACCAGCCCATGGACCTCGTCTGGGAGCAGGGCATCTGGGACATATGCAGGGAGCGGCAGAGCACCCACGACCGCCTCTGCGGGCAGGCTGACGAGCTGGGCTACTTTGAGGAGGTACCCGTGCGGGTGGCCCAAGGGCTGATGCCCTCCTCGCTGGTGATCACGCTCCTGGGCTTGGTGGTGGCTGCCCTGGGGGTTCGCTGCTGGCAAGAGGAGCCACGGCACCTGCTGGCTGGAGTGGCAGGGCTGGTGCTGCTTCTTTCGGGGCTGATGAGCCTCGTGCCCACCTCCTGGTACACCCATGAGCTGTGGGCACTGCCCGCACTGCCTGGCAGCACACTGGCTGTAGGCTGCAGCTTGGTGCTGAGCTACTTGGGAAGCTGTCTGGAGATCTTGGGGGGACTGGCCCTTGCCCTCAGCTTCCATCAGTGCTGGAAGGAGCGCAGGGCCCCCAAACTGTCCCCCAGCCCTGTGCTGGAGCCTGGGCTGTGCTCCACCACTGGAGCTTACAGCAATCCCTGGGATGTACTGAAGGATGAGCGAGATGGACAGCACTGGAGGAACAATCCACCCTGTGACTCAGACTTGTAGCCCCAGCACCAGGACAGCAGCCACCTGCCTGGCACTGAGAGCAGTGCTGGCTCCTGACCTACAAGCCATGCCCTTCTCCTGGGGCACCTCAAAGCAGCCGGAAAACAAGACCAAGGACCTGGCTTGAATCTCTGCAACTTCCTCAAAAGCCTGCTGTGCTCTAGGTCCTACAACTGTGCCAAATCCACACTGGGTTGAGGGCTATACATAGCTCTGGTCCCTCCATGCAGCTTTTAACTCATCCTCCTCCACCTGCACAGCAGCTTGATCAGAGGCAGCTTCACTGTTCCCATGTAAGCAAGGTATAGGTTAGCACCATGCAACCTTCAGGACTGAGAATAGGGGAGGGGTGCACCTCCCACGTCTCTGCCCAACTCAGGACTGTGCAAACAGCAAAATAAATGCAAAGCAGTGGGTCTGTACTGTGGGATGGTTACGGGCTTTCTGCCAGGCAGGCTTGGCTGAGAGCCAGTGGGCATGGCTAACCCAGCCTCCCTGTGCTTTGCCTGAAGCAGGGAGGAAAAGTCTGTAAAAGTTTTATGGCACCTTCTTAAAGGACTTTTTCCCCATGGACAAAATCAGCTCTGGTAGAGGTTTCTCCTTCCTTGAGCACAGCCACTTCAGGGGGAGAAAAAAAAACAACAAGGGAACACAGAGTACAAAATAGCATATTCAACATTAGCCTGGTATGATGTGGTAAAACTGGTCTCACTGGTTTGTAAGGGACAGTCAGGAGGTCAGAACTGGACTATAAAATCCCGCTCAACATCTTGCATAACATGATAAGAGCAAAGCCAGCTTCCTTGCAGAGCTATTTGGCCAGATTTCCACCCCAGGCAAGCCCAAAGCACCATGGTCAGCAAGCTAAGCCTTGCTGCAGAGGGACAGTGGCTCATGATGCTCTTAGTGTGGTTATAGGATAGTACAGGATGCATCCTGCAACAGGGGATCAGATTCAGGTGGCTCAGAGTGTGTTGGGATTGGAGACTTCCTGATAAACCTCCCAAACCTTTTTCCTCTGGACTCTTATGTTCCCTAGAGCTTAGACATCGGGAAAGAGCAAACCTCCCCAGCCCACACACAAACGACAGCGGCACAAGAGATGCTGCACAACATTCCTTTATGAAAATACAGTGTTGGGGTGAGATGGTCCCTTCCTTGGCAGGGCTGGCAGCTCCTGCAGAGATCACAGATGAGTGCGTGAGGGGTGAGTCTGAGCCAGCTTCTCTGAGCCCACCCCACACTTTATCACAGGGGCTCCAGCCACACTGGAGCTGGACAGCCCTTTCAGACACCAGGCACCCCAGGTGTTGCCCCTCTCCTCCAGCAGGAGGGCAGAGCTTGCCTCAGGAGTGGGCACTATGCCAGCACTGGGCCTTGGGGCACCCCAGGGTGGCAGGGGTGACCCTACCAGGGCCTGCTCCTGTTGTTACTCACCTCTTTCCCATCGTAAGCTTCATTCACAAATGTATCACTCTTGGGGGGAAGCTCTTCCTCCTCCTCCTCATCCTCTTCCTCGGGGTCACTTTCACGGTGGTACAAGGTCAGCACCCGGGTGGAAGCAGTGCTTGAGGTCCTGAGGAGGAAAAAACATACACTAAGAATGGCATGGCTGTCTCCTAGAGATGGGGCAGATCCTAAGGTCCTGCCACAAGCCCTGGTAATAGCCTGCTGGGGTGATCGAGCTTTCTGTATAATCCAGAGGTGCATCAGGACACCACACTGTCCCTGGGCAAGGAGACCCGGTACCTCTCTATCCCCAGTTATACCTGGCCCAGCCCAACCCCAGAGTTCACCTCCTCCGCCTGTCCCGCCTCCGCATGTAGGCCAGGGCCCCCACAGCAGCAGCAGCGAGCAGGAGGAGAACGGCCACGCCCAGGACGATGGGTCCTGCGAGGGGCTGCACCTCTGCTTCCTCGCAGTAGTCGCCACGATAGCCCAGGGCGCAGTGGCACGTCACTCGCCCGGCCTCGATGGCGCAGTCCCCGCGCAGGTTGCACGTCTCGCTGCTGCACGGCACAGCCCTCAGCACCTCCTCCGTGCTGGGGGGTACCAGGAAGGGCTCTCCGTGCTCCCGGGGTCCAGGGGCTGCGGGTGGGCTGGGGCTGGGCTGCCGAGGCTGCAGTGCAGTTGCGGTGAGGCTGGTTTCTGTTCTTCCACGTGGGACATTCCTGATGGTGACACTGCGGGGACTTGCGTCCCCACCTGCTGGGAGGGGCCTGGCGGGAGGAGCATAGATCAGCAAGAGACCCAGGCAAGTCCTCCTTCCCAAACTGGGGGAGACTAGCCGGGCTACCCCGTGCCCTGCCAGGACTGCTGCCACGCCCTGGCTGTGGGCAGGCACTCACAGTCAGACTCATCGGAGCCGTCAGCGCAGTCAGAGCGCCCATCACAGACCTGTTCTCCAGAGATGCAGCTCTGGAGGTCAGAGCAGGGCTGGAGCATGGCAGGGCAGGACAATGCTGGTGCACATGCTGCTCCACGTACGAGGTGGTAACCGTGAGAGCAGCGGCACTGCCTCCCTGCAGGGTTGGGCAGGCAGAGCTGGGCACAGCCTCCGTTGCTCTTTGCACAGGCATTGGTGCCTGCCAAAACAGCACGAGTTAGCATGGACGGCTCAACCCCACAGATGCCCCGGGCTGGGACAGTTGCAGACCCACCTTCCTGTGAGAACTGGCTGTAAATCCTCATGGCTACCAAATCCTTCTCCATTGCGAACCACCACCTCTCAGCCCGCTCCAGCCGGCTGTGCCAGATCTTGCTGGATCCTGGAGACACATGGGGTCAGCACTGCTCCACTTCCTCCCATAAGAGTGCCCAGGATAGGAGGTGGGGGTCCCCTAACCTGTCCTTCACCCCACGGAGGGGCAGCCTGCACCCCACAGGGACTGGCAGAAACCCCTGTGCCCCAGTGCCGTAAGAGGAGCTGGACAAAGTACAGCAAACAGACCCACCATTGGTTGAGGTCGTGCTCCAGAGCAGAAAGCCTTCTCCTATGGCAAACAGTGAGAGACCATGCAGCCCTTCCCGTACCACCCGAAAGTGGGATCCATCCAGCTCGACGCTGCTGATGGTACCTCTCTCTGCAGGACACAGATGGAGCAACATCAGTGTGGAGACACGGAGGGCTGTGTGGGGCTGTGCCTTGGGGAGGACTGAGTGCCTGCACCACTGCTACCCCCAGCAGAGCCCTGGCACAGCCCACACTCACCGTGGTCTGCCCAGTACAGCCTGGTGCCAGCAGCCCCAAAGGTGAGGCCAGTGGGAGCCCGGGCTCTCCTCCAGACCGCTCTGCGGCCAGTGCCATCCATGGCTGCACACTCCACTGTGGCACCGGGCCCATGGCTGCCAGCTGCTGTGATAAAGCACATGGTGGAGGCACGAGGGCACAGTGCCAGCCAGGCAGCGCCCTGCAGCCCCTCACTGAGTAGTGCCAGGGTCCACCGCCCCCCAGGAGCTGCCACATGGATACTGGGCGGCTGCCCCCTGATCCAGTACAGGTTCCCACTCAGCCAGTCCAAGGCCAGGGATGTCACCGTGCCCTCCACAGCTACTGCCTTCTTCCAGGACAGCCGTCTCCAGTCCTTCAGGCGCAGCAGTCCGATGGAGTTGCCTCCCACCTCTGCAAAGTACAAACTCTTGTCTTTCACTGCGTAGTCGATGGCTGTCAGGTGGCCCACCTTGGCCAAGGGCAGGGCCTGGTGCAGGGGAAGCTCTTGGGATCCAGATGTTGCAGGCAGGTCCTTCAGGTAGACCTGGAGGAAGGAGGCAGCAGTAAGATGGGGACCTTTCTCCCCTGACAGCAGCTAGGACAGCAGCCCCTAGGGCTGGCTCTGGAGGATGGTACCTGTGTCACAGCTGCTGGTGACACCAGGAGAGCAAAGGCCGAATCACGGAGGGGCAGGCACGTGGTCTCATCGGCAGCCAGCACCAGCCTGGGAGGGCACCGGCACTGCCCAGTGTGCCTGGCGCTCAGCAGGCACAGGTGGGAGCAGCCACGTGTCTCACAGGGGTTAGGGGCTGTGGGGCGCAGGGCTTGGTGCATCACCTGTGAGAAGGGCAGGCTCAGCTCACAGCCCTGCCAGCACCCACCGGCAGAGCTGAGCACAATTGACACCATGCCCTCCTCCCAAGGCCCACACACAGCCCAGCTCTAGGCAGAATGGTGAGGCAGAGATGTTCCAAGAGGACCAGAGACATTTGGCTACAGGGGCTGCTGCCCAAGGACCACCGGGATGGGGGTACAGCTCCCAGTGCCTCCACACTTAGAGGACAACAGGATCGTGCAGGTTGAGAGACCCAGCAGAGCTGGCACAGCAGGGTTTGGGGCTCCCCAAGTGGGTACCTGGAGGCCATGGGGCTGCCCGTGCTGCTTGAGCAGTGTGGTTCTGTTCTTGCCACTGTCCTTGTCCACCTGCTGCACAGACCATGTCTTCCTCTCCGACCAGTAGATCTGGCCCTCACACACGGCCGCTGCAAAGGGGCTCCGGACCCAGCTCAGCTTCAGGACCTGTCAGAGAGGCTGTAAGTGCCCACCCCAGTCCCCATCAGGGCCCCGTCAGCAATGCTCCACCACAAACCTTCACACTGGTGCCATCCAGACGTGCAGAACTGACACTGCCCAGCTTCTCATCCAGCCAGAAGATCCTCTGGGTGGGGAGGTCGAGGGCTAATGCTGTGGGCCAGCCCAGCCCCTGGGCCAGCAGCACGTGCCGCCGACTCCCATCCATCGTGGACTCCATCAGCCGTGGGTGGCTCCCCACCTCTGACCAGTACAGCAGCCTAGTGGGAAGAGAGGTGCCAGCCCATGGACCACACACAGCATCGTCCCAGTACATGGAGGAAAATGGGGCAGGGGAGGGATGGTAAGGCGGTCTCCATGTCCCCTTGTGGCAGACTTACCCTGCCAGAGGCTGGAGCACCAGAGAATGGGGCTGGTCCAGGTCTCCATCCATCACCACAGTGTACTCTGGTATCCCTTGCCAGGCAGTGCCCAAACGAGTGGCCAGCACCTGTCCTGCTGCACCATCTGTCCAGTACAGGTTCCTCCCAAGCCAGTCCACTGCTATACAGTCTGATCTCACACCTGCAACACATCCAAGAGTCAGCACCTGTGTGGTGACAGCTGCATGGCCCTCTGGCACGATGCTCCCAGCCCACATCCTCTCTATCCCAGGCTGTCTGGCTCCTCCCAGCCTTGCTCCCAACTAGCACCTCTCCACACAAGGTGACACAGCCTGGCATGCTACCTCAACCTGGAGATTGCCCAGTGACAAAGAGGCCAGCTCTGCTACCCCCATGCTGTCACAGCCTACCTTTCACCAGTGTGCCTTTCTTGCCCGAGTTGAGGTCCTGCCAGCGGATGCTCTCTGTGGCCAGGTCCATCCAGAAGACTTTCCTCTCCACCAAGTCATAGTCGAGTGAGAAGACGACGCGATCCTTGTCGGTGGCCAGCAGCACC